TATCCATAAGTGAATCATCACTTTCTGATTCGGTCATTTGTCTGTCATTATTGTTTTGTTTTAGACGTTTAGATAGCTCATGTAACGGGATGTCATCTTCAGAAGAAGAGTTCTCTCTTTCCCTTCTATATCTTTGGGCTAATTTTGCAAGTGGTATATTTTCTTCGTCATTGCTACTTACACTATCATGACTCATTGATATTGGTTCATTTTCTGATTCATTATTTGACATGTAATCTCTGTTTGGGTTTACAGCATCATTTAAGGTGTTAGTTTCATCTTTTATATTTTCCTTTTGATTTTCAAACTCTGGGTTTGTAGAGATGTTATTGTCTGATTTATTATCATCTGGTTCCGATTCTGGGGGCATTACATAGGCGGCTTTACGGAGAGGTTTTCCTTGATCATTTTGGGGTATTTCCCATTCATCGATTTTCGCTAATCGCAGTAATTCTTTATGTGCTTTCGTCACTTTGCCATCTAACTGCCTTTTGATTTTAAATGTTACCGGCGAAATTTGCTCAATTATTCTATAGAATGGTTTCCATTTAGATTGAAGCTTGCTCTGTCTTTGATTATTTTTATAATAAACTGGGTCTCCGATCTTCAGTTCTACATCTACCGCATTTCTGTTTGCATATTTTGCTTGTCTTCGTTTAGATCGTTTTAAAATTCTATGGACCATTGTAAAGGATTTATACTGTTGTTCTAATGCTATTTTATGCGGATCTTCTCCCATATATCTGCGGCGCGGTTGCAGAATATTGTCTATTGGCATAATTACATCTCGATTATAAAGTAAATAAAAAGGGGAGAAAGATGAAGATTCATTGATGTTAAATCGAACTGCGGCTAAGGTTTGATTGAGAAAAATATCCCAAGTCGTTAAATTGTCTTCTAACTTTTTAGCCAATACATCATGAAGTGTTCGATGGAATCTTTCAACTTTTGCATTACTTTGAGGATGGTAATATGATGTTTTTACATGCGAGATGTTTAACTCTTTCAACGTTTCTCTAACTACCTTATTTTCATTTTCCGTGCCATTGTCAGTTATAATTTCTAAGGGAGCACCAAATCTTGGAAATATTTCTTCAATGATCAAATGTGCGATAGTCTCGGCGGTTTTATCTGGGACTGCAAAAGCTTCAGGCCAGCCAGAGTAAAGATCTACAAATCCGACAATATATTTGTTTCCCGATAATGACTTCGGATACGGACCCGATAAATCTAAACCAATTTTCGCAAATGGAAATGGCGGAACATCTGTTTCTTGAATAGTCGGCTTTATTTTTTTAAGGTTTCGTGTAGCGCACTTTACACATTTACCGACATAGTCATACAACTCTTTATACAAATTAGGCCAGTAATACTTTAGTCTGATCGCGTCGAATGTTTTGTCAATTCCTAAATGACCATTATCATCGTGATACTGTTTAATTACAGGTAATCGATACTGCGCTGGCACGTAGAATCTTATGATCGGATCGTTATCGGCATTCGACAAATAGTACAACACTTCATCAATAATAAGATGTTTATCACTTATTGATTTTTTTGCCGTGCCCTGTTGCAATTGACGGACAATGCGAATTATTTCAGAATCTTTAGATTGTTCTTCAGCTACATTTACGTCGGTGTTTTCACTCAATTTGATTTGAGGTTTAAATGGAATGTCAGGCTCATCTATGTCATAACGTACATAATCTTTGGGATTTATCGCGTTTGAATTGATGAAATTGATTTCTAAAAAGTTCTCGTGCACGTCCGGTTCATTCTGTTCAAATTTGATTTCATTTTCAGATGGGATTAACGCATTTATTTGTGGCGTTCTAGATAGTAAATCTGCGCATGTATTTTCAGTTCCCGGAATATATTCTATTTGACAATTGTATCCGGCGATACCTAAAGCCCATAACTGGATTTTCTTATTTTTCATTGGAGCTTCTAACAAGTATTTCAGTGGTTTGTGATCAGTTCGAATGACAAATTTGGCATTATGCAAGTAGTGATCAAATTTCTGGAGTGCAAAATGAATTGCATATGCTTCTTTTTCTACTGTAGACCACCGCGTTTGGGTGTCACTTAATTTATGTGAAAGATAACAAATAGGTTTTTCATTTCTAATACCCAATATTTTTACTTCATTTTCCTGTTCGTTTTCATCTAACTGTTGGGCTAAACACGCGCCTATTGCTGTATCAGAAGCATCCGTGTAGAGAATATACTCTTTATTTGGATCGGGAATTGATAAAAGTGGCACTTTAGTTAGACTCTCTTTTAAGAAATCAAAAGCTTTTTGACAATCGTCATTCCATTTGAATCTTGCATATTTCTTTGTTAATGATACCAAGGGTTCTGCGATCTTTGAAAAGTTTGGTATGAATCGACGGTAATAACTACACATACCGATAAAACTGCGAATTTCTTTTACAGTACTCAGTGAAGGTAGAGTGCGAATTGCAGCTACTTTATTCGGATCAGGTCTTATTCCTTCTTTATCAATTATGAACCCTAAATACTGCGTTTTCTCTTGAACAAAACTGCACTTTTTGGCTTTCAATTTTAATCCATGCTCTTTAAGTCGTTCAAATACAATTTGAATATGTTTTTCATGATCTTGAATGGTTTCTGAAAATATCAAAATATCGTCTAAATAAGCCAAAGCAAATGATTCTAGTCCTGCTAGTACTGTGCTCATGAGTTCTGAAAATATTTGTGGAGCATTGCAAAGGCCAAAAGGCATTACATTAAATTCAAATAAACCTCTGTGACACACAAAAGCTGTTTTCTCTTTATCTGCTTCGTCCATAAGTACTTGCCAATAACCCGACTTCAAATCCAATGATGTAAAATATTTTGTTTTTCCTAACTGATCTAATAAATCGTCAATCAAGGGCAAGGGCCACGAATTTGTTTTTGTGATCTTATTTAGTTGTCTAAAATCTACACAAAAACGTTTTGTTCCATCTTTCTTATCTACTACCACGATAGGGAAACTCCAAGGTGATTTTGAACGCCGCACTATGTTTGCGCTTAACATTTCATCGATTGCTTTATCTACGATCACTCGTTTATTCAACGGAGTTCGATACGGTTTCATTTTAATTGGTAAATGGTCACCTGTATCTATTTTCATTTTGATCGTATTAGTATGCCCTAAGTCTGCATCTGTTTTAGCAAATAGATCTTTATTTTGCATGCAAAGTTTTTCAATCATTCCTCTGTGCTCTGGAGAGACATTGAGTTCTGCTTTCAGGTCATTTATTTCTTTTTCTTTTTCTTTATTTTTATCAAGAACCGAGATGTTAATCGATTGATCATCTACAACATTTATTCGACCAATAATGCACCCTCTCTTGAGTTCGTAAGTTTTATTGGTGTTATTCACAACCAAAACTGGTATTTTACGCGATGATTTTGTTTTCGCGATTATGTTCCCTATCATAAGACCTGGTTCGTCACTAATGAAACCTTTATCTAATGCATTTACTTCAACAACTTTGTTTTGAAAATTTGCGTGATCTTTATGTTTTGCAAAACAAACTGTCGCGGATTGAGGTCTTAAAATAGTTTTCTTTGAAGCTCTCAAAATTGATGCAATGTGAACATCTTCAACCATTGGAACATATGTTTTACCAATACGTAAACTGCCAAGATCAAAATAAAGTCTGACACCATTTTGGACTAACCAGTCTCTACCCAAAATAAAAGATCTGTTTATATTTTGAACAACAAAAAATTGATGAGACATTGTGAGACCTCCTACAACAAATTCAATTTGAGTACAACCTTCAATTTTCAAATCAGCGCCATTTACAGATTTCAAATTCACTTTTGGTTTTGAAAGTTTAAAAGGATTAGAAAAGGACCAATAAACATTTGAACTAACCAATGAAACAGCGGCGCCTGTATATATAAGAGGTCTAAATCTTCTTTTCTCAATTTTGATAATACATGAATTTGGATTTTCTATTGAATTAACAGTCAAAGTGGGGAGATTTTTCACATTCTCAAAAATTTTCTTTTTCTTTAAATATTTCTTTTTCTTTAAATAGCTCCCCCCAAAGGTCCCATTTTGGGCGGAGCTTCCTAGTTTAACTCTTCCCAATTTTCTTCTTCAGCCCCTGCTGGTAGGGCATTAATAGCTTCAATTTTTCTCTTTTTATTTGGGCATTCAGGACTGTAGTGTCCTCTTTTATTACAGGTCCAACATACAACTTCACTGCGAGGTCGTTTTGTCTCAACTGCTAAAACTTTCTTCGGGGTGTATGTCTTTTTGACAGACTGTCTTGGTCGTTGCCCTTTGTCATGTCTGTTTCCCCTCTTATATCTATAATGGTCAACCTCCATCGGTTCTCCCGTAAAGGTTGCCGGGGCAAAATAATTTCTCCCAGTTCTTAATTGAAACCTTTGTTGCAAATTAAATTCGGCTCTTGCAGAATTTATTGCATCCTGCATGGTAGCAGGATTATCACGCATGACCTTTATTTTTAATCTGTCTGAATACAGACCATCGACAAAGAACCCAACAAGTTGGTTTTCTGTGACTCGCATATCTTGAGCACCTTGATATGCCTCCTCCGCTATGGAGAGCAACCGTTCAGCAAAGATCTGTACATTTTCAAATTTTTCTTGCTTAACTTGTCTCAGCAGCATAAAAGCATGCTGCGAATCTGTAATTTCTGCAAATCTCATGGAGAGTTCTGCCTTGAGGGTATCCCATTCTACCCTCTGATTTGCCTTGAAATACCTTTGAATAAAATCACTGACCGCCCCTGTACTAGTTTTGAAAGCTATCATTTTTACATTTTCAGCAGGAACTCCCTCTAGAAAAGCATGTTTTTCAATCGCTTTAATCCATCTCTTAAATAATTTTGGATCCCCATCAAAAGGTGTAATTTGATTAGTTCCCAAATTTTGATTTAAACTGTCCATCTTTATTGAAAGACCCTTTACAGCAGTTATAAATTCTTGCTCAGACATTTTTACAAGAGATTATGGCAGAGAAAATAAATACTTACAGAACGGAGGAGAAGTTGCAGTTTTCAAATTCCAGTGGTCACCCGTTCGAAACCAAACCAAATCCTGGTCACGGCACCAAATGAACGTCTATAACACAACGACTTTGGATACGGTTATATATATATTTATTATGTCATTGTTGCACAATATAGACGTCATGCATATACAGTTAGAACAATGTTGTCAGCACAGGTACAGTTAAAATATTATAAAGTTAGTACTTGGTATATCCACTGGATGCCAAACTAGTAACTAGTACAGGGGGGCACAAATTTCGTATAGTGGTTTGTCTAAAGTTCTTGTTCTCTTCTGTCCTCCGCCTGTCCAGTCTTAGAATATATATCTTCATATTTCCAATCGTTAGATCCTGGTTTAATAATTAATTATTGGAAAGCTTCTAAGTCATTTATGAAATTGCTTTGATCGATTTTCTTGCAGATTTAATCAAGTGTTCAATTACAATTCTGAATGTGGTCAATTAATGTTATCAAGTCATTCTCCAATACATTTAATTATTTAGATACCAATAAGGGATACTGACCACTTCGTTCAATTATGATATTTCATCAAAGCTGACCCATAATAATTCACATTAATATTTACACCAGTATTGACTACATTAAACACATTATCAGTGAATAGAAATAGAGTACATAAGAACCTAAATGGCTCTCAAGGACATATAAGGATTATTATGCCTTATACACATATGTCCTTATTAATCAAAGATACGAAACACAACAGATATTAAAAAGTTAATATATAGTTTATTTATATGTAGGGTATAGTCCAATTGTGTTACAAATGTTTCAAGTGTTTCCATGTGATCTATATGTGAGAATACTTCAAAGTTTTTCTACAATATTATAATCTTATATTGAACAAGATCCGAACCAATATATGGAGGTATTATTTGATGCCAGACAAAATTGTGACGAGAAGGAATCGTATAATGCGGGGTAAAAAAAAAACCCATTGCATATGATGCACTCGACTCCGAACTAAAAGTACCTAACGATAAACAGAACGGCTGACTAAGATCTTGATTTTCTAGAAAAAAAAATGTTAGAATTATTTTGTTTTGTTTTTTATTTAAATAAACTCTCTATAGCTTTTGAAAATTTCTAATTTATAGATACAACTTTAATGGAAATTACTAGTATAAATATAATAATCAAACTATTAATAAAGTTGATTCTTTATGAAATTCGCAGAATTATATATATATATATATATTGGTTATTATTATCATTAAGCTGTAGAATTAATTTTGGTACTTTTCATTTGTACCTATTTTATTTTTTTTTTCACCATTCCAAATAGAAAATTATATATATATATATATATTCATTTGGCTGGATACATTTTTTTTAAACTTAAGAAGTTGGGATTACCTTTGATGTAAACAGCATGAATTTAGATCTACTTAAAACACATAAAACATATCTTATTCTAAAAAAAACACCATGCATTCATACTTATAAAATATCAGGATATCAGCTTTGGTTGGAGCTCTTTAAATTTTTTTGTTATGAATTCATTCCATGATATCACATATTTTTCAGTTATAAACTACTCAATAAAAACAAGACATTTCTTGTCAGCGTTACCCTCATTCGTATTGGCGATTACTTGATAAATGATTTCATTTTAATAAAAAGGACCAGGTAAAGGGAGAATAAACATACTCTGTGCTTTATGTACAGTCATGCGCTTTTATGTATTGTTACTTTTAAAACATTGTGATTTACTACGTTTATCTATACATGTACGTACAATGTTACAAATAGGATGCAATAAAAACTTGAAATTGATACAGCAGTGTCATAGAACGCGTTTTATTACTCTTGAAAAATACAGATAATTCATATTCTTTATAGAGCTCGATGTTTCTGTTTACATTTCGAATTCGGTCTCATTAATTTTTTAAAATTATTTTCCAAACACTAAGTTCCTTGTAAGATTACTTTTTCACTCAAATATATTTCCATAATAAAAAAGAGAACATGATTATATTATTTATGAAACGAAATGAATCGTCAAACTAGGCCTGTAGACACCCCCTCCCCCTTTATTTTCAAGTATAGATTTTGCTAAAGTATTTTTTCTTTACATGCAGGTTGACCCCAACCCCCAATTTTTAACTGTTGTTAGGTCAAGAGCATGCAAATCCGTGGATATCGTTATATAGTTTGAAGTTGTATAGTAATCCTGATTTCGATCGACTGCTTCTTGTACCCTTAAATTCGTAGAAAATATTTCAGGCACGAAGCATCAGGAATTTTTATTTTGTTATTATTTTTTTGCGAAAGGAACCTTCTTCCATTGTAAAATGTTCACTGAAAAGCCAGCTTTTTTGTTGTTGGATTGGAATTGAAGGTCCCTCACTACCTCATCGGAGTAGGATTTGCGAGATTGGACACTTTATCTTGTTTTGCTCGTCAATTAGTATAGAAAAGCCGTAAAGATATTAAACATTTTTAAATAGAAAATTATTTATGAAAATAAAACACATAATTTTTGAATATTTTTTTAATTTGTGGTTTAAATCTTCTTAAAACCAGTCACAACTGGGGAGAACATGTTCATTAATCATATTTATAAAAGAAATTGAAATGAAATAACCAAATTTTAGAGAAATTAATTTTTTTAAATTTTGGCCAATCCCGATCAAAATTAAACCGATCCCAACCATAATTGTACAATTATTGGATATAAATTACGTTTTCTCAAGAACACTCATCTGATTAGGTGTAATAAGGGTTAAATTATAATTGAACATGACAATAAATTAGATTTCTTCATTGTTTATATATGAAGAGGCAATAAATTAGCATTTTATTCATTTTGTGTTAATTTTGATCGGGATCAATTTAATATTGATCGGGTTAGGTCCAAATATTAAAAAAAATTAATTTATCTAAAATTTCTCAATTTCGTTTGATTTTTTTTTTAATGATTGACAAACATGTTGTCCTCAGTTGTGACTAGTTTTATGGTGTTTTAACCATACGTTTAAAAAATGTCCACGAATGATATGTTTTATTTACATAAATATTTTTTTTTTTAAATGAAAGTCTTACCAGCCTTTACTTCCATATTTTATTAGATATTCATATGATGCATTCATTAACAGCAAACTTTTAACTCGAAAACAACTTATTTGGATATAAATAATTTTTTCGAATTTTCTTTGAAAAAATACAAAAAAATTCATAAGTAATAATTAAGAGCTAATCTCGGCCTTTCAATGCTGAAACCATTGTTTTAAAAGGATGACTCAAAGATCTATAAAATAAAAAGTTGGTGTGGCATTCCATCTTGAGGTAATTTGGCACCCCCCTTACTTTCAAAAGCAATACTACATATGTATCTATATATTATAATTTTAAATTAACTCCTTTATATGCATTTTACCTATTCAAAATAATCTACAGTATAAAAACAGAAAGGCTCAAATTCAGATTAGTAAAACGACTGTATAATATTAATGCATTTTCATGGATACATGTATTTATGTAATCACCACACTTTGTTCAAAATTTAATACTACATACATGTACTACTTTTTCACATTAATATGTATTTCAAAATAATGATATTTTCGTTTCAATATTAAAATTAAAGTTGCGCAAGTATTTGCTCGATTTTTTTTTTTACTGTTTAGTACTTCTTAAAATGCATTGTGCAAATTCCACAACCCAGATGACAGCATCTCTGTGTGAATTGCTAGTGACCTTCAAGATCAATCAAAAGGTATTTTTGATGTGTCCAATAACTACAAATCGATTAGCGAACAGGTGTCTTTCATTCCTACATTCCAGCACCACCAGGGGGGAATCTCTCGATATGAAAAGGTCACGCATCCACATCCTGAATTATAACCATAAGTACACACAGTGGGTGGTGGAGGAGAAGAGTTTGATTAGTTAATAACTCTCCTGTATTACATCACATGCTGTTTTTATTTACTCACCTTTACTATGATAATATCATTGTTTTGAACTTTCAAAAGAAATCGCGATATAGAGGAATGACACAGTGGAAAAATCTAACAATAAACACGCAACTGGATATTTTCCTCCCCCTTTTTACATTATCTACATGTATACATTTGTAAAATGTTTATAATCGGGGTTGTTAATTTATATGCTTATTGCATGCCTGTCAGTTTCTACATGTATAAACCACGTTGTGCATATTCTTGAGAGTCTAGTGTAATTCTAAAAGACTGAATCTTTTTGAAAGGATCAAAAATTTCTCATCCTCTTGTTTTATACTGTTTCAAGCATCCAAGCCACACTGAGCTGTTCTCTAATGAATATTGATGAATTGTGCGCAATGAGGATGCGTCGTATATTATGTCGATGTTGTATTCTCACTCGTGCAGTTTTCGTTTTTACGTTTGTGTTATTTTCTATTTCGTGTAAATATTTTGTTGATTGTGTAGTTTTTCTGTAGTTTGTGTAAGTTTCAATAACTTTGTGTATATTTTCCTCACTTTGTGTAAGTTTTGACTTGCTCGTGTAATTTTTTTTTAAGGTCGTGCAGAAAATAGTTTTGAACCAATGGGCGTGCCATACAGACATCCCCAGTTGTTCACTTCATTTAATCTTGGTTTAACAACATCACTCTATATTTATTTTATAATTACCTAACATTCACATCGATGCAGTCAATAAATGTGGTGAGTATTAACTTATATCGTTGACTGCCCGTTTATCCATTTGGCATGTATATTTTTTGGATTAACTAGAGTGGAAAAAGTGTACATTTCTCAAGTTGGCAAGTTAACATTCACTGGAAGAAACGAGACTTTTCAGTTAAAAGTGAAAGGCGGCTTTCAGTGACTTTTCAGTTGCCATTCAGCCACTGAATGGCTGGTACATTTCAATGACCTTTCAGTTGCCTTTCAGCCATATTTCAGATACCTTTTAGTCACCATTCAGCATAAACATTTCAGTTATCTTTCAGTGACCTTTCCGTCAACTTTCAGTTAGCTTTTCGTCGACTTTCAGTGACCTTTCCGTCGTCTTTCAATTACCTTTCCGTCATTTTTCAGTTACCTTTCCCTAATCCTTTAGTACACATTTTAGTATCAATTCAGCAATTTTTTTTACTGGCTTATTAATTTTTAATCAGTAGTTTTTCCTTTAAAATATTTTGCCTAAATTTATTATCCTATCTAAACTCTGTTTTTTTTTCTTATTGTAATAAATGTACCTAGTAAATAAAACTGGTAATCATGCTTAAACTTAGATGTTCAATTGTATTTCAAGTATTCTTATACGTTCAGACAAACTAAAATAAGAAGAATCTTTCTATTTCTTATGACACTTTAAATATTGAAAAGATCCTTGTAATTAACTTACACAATTTAAATCAATCGCGTTTCATAGATATCCAACATTTAAAAAATAACCAATTTATTTCCGGCTCGGAATTAAATATCACAGACAGTTTAAAGTCAATTCAATCATAGAAACGAGGGGATATATAAGGTCAAATTTGGCGAAAATTTTGAATTGAACGTAGAAATATAGCAAATATCCTGTTAATCTACACTAGATCTTGTATTTATTTTTTAGATCAGATATGTCGTATACTCCCTAGTATAACTTTAACATGTTTAAATTGTTAAAGACTTTAAAAATATGTTTTAACAATTATTTTTTTTATATGTTTAAAAAATGATAACAATTCAACAAAACACGTAAAATTAAAAAAAATATGGACTCATAAAATATTTCATTTTCCAGTTAGATTAAAAGAAAAAAAATCTTCCAAAAACAAAAAGATAATTGTCTATTTTTTTATTTCTGTTAATCTCTAATTCGATCTCTAAGGAGATTTCTTTGACAAGAACAGGTGCCCGTCGCCGATAATTGTCATCATCCCGAGAAGAGATGTGTAATCAATCAGTCTGTCCCCAAAATCCGCGCAATTAACACAGAATATACAAAATATATACAAGATATATACACATAGAAACTCCTCGATACAACAGGTGAACCGTGTTCCATTTCGATTTCAACATATTGATTGATTTTAATTCAAAGATTACCAATAAGAAGCAGTAGCTCAGTTGATAAGGTTACGGACTTTTCCACTGCCGACCAGGGTTCAATTCTGGCATTGGGAATGTTTTTTTTTCTTGCATTAATTTTTTTTCTTCATTTTTAATATTATATAAACTAAGTGCTATTAAATCAGGAAAAAGTGAAATAAATTTTTTAAGTTAAAAAATAAGCTGATTATTTAATAAAAAGATGCAACTGAATGATAACTGAAAGGTCACTGAAATATACCTGCCGTTCAGTCGACTGAATGGTAACGGAATGATCACAGAAAAATCACGGGAAAGGATCTTTTCAGTGACCTTTCAGTGACCATTCAGTGGGCATTCAGTTACCATTCCGTCGAATGAATGTTGTAATTTCATCTTGTGATTACTATTATTTTTCCATAGTGAATTCAAAATTTACATAATGATAGGCCGATTTATTGCAATTCTATATATGTGAAAAAATTAAATTTCCTTAAGATATCTAAAAAGAAAAACTTACTTTCAATGAAATTTGATATTTGATATTATTTTGTTTGCATTAAATAATAGCCTCATACTCATATTTTTTTCTATGTTTTGGCTTGAGAATCCTTTCCATTCATATTTTTGTCTGTACCTCATCTTAAACCACAATTTAAAGTCAGTGCATACATTTATTTCTATTCCAAAATCCTTTAAATTACATGATTTTTTGTAGTTAATATATGTAGCATTTATAATATGTTTCAATACTAAATTCAGATTAATTTGATAAAACAGTTTTAGTGCACAATTATATGATTCTACAAAAAAAAAAAACAAATTTCATTTTAACAATTTCTTATTTCTGCTTTTTTTACACTTATAATCTTAAAAGGACATATCTGTTACAGAAAACACTCTGGTAAAGGAAATTCTCGACAATTGGCGAGAAGACGATATTGCTTTCATTCCTACAAGAGCAAGTGAAGCAGTGGAAGAAAAACTTAAAAGTCTTAACCTCATCACAGTGGTTGGAAATTCTGGGTCTGGAAAATCTGCAATAATTCAACATATTGCACTAATTCTTAAGGATCAGGGATGGAATGTCATGCCGTTGGATAAGGTGGAAGAAATTAAAAAGATCTGTTCAACTGGAGTCTCAGAAAATCGTATATTATTTGTATTCAATGATCCTTTAGGTAAGGAATCGTTAGATGAAATTTTGTATCACTCATGGAAAAGTTTAGAGAAAACGCTGGAGATTTGCTTGAAGAAGAATAAACTATTGATATCATGTAGAAGATGCGTCTTTTATGACAAGAGAATCAAGGGTAACTTATTGGATAACTCATCTGCAGTAGAGATTGATAACGAAAAAAATGGACTGACGATTGACGAGAAAAGAGCGATCTTAAATCAGTATTCACAGAATCTTCATTTATCCGAGGAGGTTTTTACCGAAATAATCAAAACCGAAGCTTACTTCCCATTGCTTTGTAAGCTTTATTCAAGGGAGGCGAACTACAAAGAAAAGGGGGTCGATTTCTTCAAAAATCCGTACAAATTTATTAAAAAGGAAATTGAAGTTTGGAAGAAAACAGACAAGAAAAGATTTTGCTCACTTATCTTGATAGTGGCTTTTAAAAACAATTTGAAAATCGATGCTATTGTGAAAAATGATACTTGTTTGATGAAATTTAAAGAAATTTTAGGTATGTGTGAGTTACAAGAAAACACACATATTTCAGTCATTCGTAATACTCTACACGAATTGAAAGGATCCTATGTCAAACGTGTCGGAAATGCTTTCCAATTCCTTCACGATTTTATTATGGAGATAACGACTCTGGTGTTTGGAGTTGATTGTCCACAAGAGACAATACAGTACGCAGACACACTGCGTGAAAATTTGGCTTTACAAAACAAGTAAAGATAATGTAAATTTATTATTTACAATGCCTTTAATTGGCTTTTCTGAAAAAAGTCAAAGTTGGAAAAGGTAACCTTTACATTAACTTTACATGCACTTAAATATGATGTAATGTCCCACATTGTCTTGACTTTACAAAAAAGTAAAGTTAATATTTACAACCATTAAACACAGTATTTAGGATATATTAAATCTGATAATTAGAGACCTTAAATTTAATTAAATACCATCTTTAATAACCACAATCTGATAATTACAAACCTTAAATTTAATTAAATACCATCTTTAATAACCACAAAAGTTAATAATTTCCGTTTTCCATTCCAGTGAATGAAGCCTTATTCAAATTATGAATAAATTTTTTCTTCCAAATTGATAAATTGCGGAAATGTAAACATCATAATTAATATACATATTAAGAAAAAGCTGACTTTAACTTTGTTTATTACAATACAAAACATTATTTTTTACAAACATAAGATCAAAAGCATCAAGATTCTTGGCAGTATATGTTGCACACATCCTATCCTGCAAATTACTTACATATCAAAGACAGAGTACATTTCACAAATATGTTTTTTTTGTATGTGACATGTTTTATAATAAAACCAACTGTACATTCTTGAATTTAAAGATGTGAATCAACATAAAACTATGTCCTCTTTCTTGTGGATATTGGTTTTAGTGGAAATCAACAACTGTCAAAATTTTTTTGTCACACCTCCCTTTTCAGAGTTCAAAACTTTTCTCCCCATGCAGGCATTTTCCTAATGCTTTTCCTAAAAGAAAAAAAAAGTATTTTTTTCAGTGCCATGCATAAATATGAATATTTTCAACGGCGTCCGTGTTATCAGAATTCACAATACCATGATTAATAAAAATAAAAACAAGGCACAACCTTACTGATAAAAAAACAGTTCATACATGACCTTTAACCTCAAAAAGCAAAAAAATGTAAATTTATTAATTTAATAAGATGAGTGGAACTCTTGTTATTGCCATATTATATGAAGAATCAATGGGTTATGTCATGTATCCCTTATCACAAAAATCCTATAAATTACAATTAGAGAAATATGTTTTTTTAACGGTACTACACAAAAACAAAGATCAAATCCCTGAAATATTGAGAAATCATAGGTTTCCTGACTACTCAGTTGTCAGTTTACAAAGAGAACAATATAGTGCTACATACCGTATAAGTAAAATTTTTATCGAGGATTTAATTTTGGCATTATTAGCGAGGGTGTTGAGATCGCCAAAATTAAATATCGCTAAAAATTAATTGCGTTTTATTTGTTATAGTTTCTTAAATGTGCATTTTAAAGTCGCTAAAATAGCATTTCGCTAAAAATAAATTACCAGTTTTAAAGGACAAATCGTAAAATTTGCATCTCGCTAAAATTTCAACTTATACGGTATTTAGTTTAGCTGTACATGTATACAGAATGATACTGAAGTTATGGTTTAGGATATATGTACCTTTTTCCCAAATCGCATGTTTCAGCTCATGAACTTTTTCCTGATATGGAACAGTAAAAGGACTTTAGGTGAGAGTCCCTCAAATTGAAGATGACAATCATGCTGAAATAGAATTCATACTGTGATTAACATTTTGTACATATGGACAAATATAGTCAATATTTTTAAAACAAAATTATGAGTTTGAAGCAAACTGCTGCACTTGGTCACCAGAGAATGAATTGATTTTGAAAATTAATACACAGTGTAATCACAAATAATAGCTATTGACAAACACCCTTATGTTATTTTTTATCAAGAATAATCTAAATTTAGTTCTAAACAATACTTGCCATTTATAATATGAAAGTTGAGAACCCGCATCTTCTTCATGACAGATCTTTTAATTTTCTCATGGTAGGCTGAGTAGCTTGAGACTATACAAAGGAAATTGAACATTTTTTTTTTACAAATATATGACGATATTGACTCCCGAGCAAGTCAAGCACTAAATAATGTAAATGTTTGTTCAAGTAACAGATTTCATGAAATTTATTATTAAAATGTGCTTGTACCAAAGAACACTGGGATCCTCAATCTGGGTAATCATGTTTTGTTGTCTTCTTCGCCCCGTCTTGATGTTTTCCCTTCAACAATCTGCATACTGAATTCACTGTACCTGTGTTTTAAGAAAATGGACACAGTTTAAAATAAAAATGATATAAATAAAAATAAATAAACTCTCAAAGTTGAGAGTTTATGTATATAGGTGTAGTACTTTTCTTAAAACATAATTTTTCTTGCCTGATCAGAATCTTTATTAAAGCAACTTTTAGAGTGAAGTTAACATGGTTAATGTAGATACAAATTACAATTATCAATCCGGAAGACAAGCCCCTATGATTCATACACCTTTACAGAATAAAGTGACGCACATAAACATTTAATACCCAAATTATCAAAAGTACTTATCCAATATACTAGCAGAAAATAACAAACAAAGCGTCGTTTTCCGTGACTTTGATTAGTTTCATTCTTTCACAACATGCATAATGTACTGATCTGAAAGTGAAAGTAAAAACGGCTGGAAATCGTAAACAAACCTTTAGAGCATGCCAACACGGGAGTTCGAGCAGTTGTCAAGGCAAGAATCTTCTTAAATCTAGATGAAGTGTCAAAAAATTACCACTGGTTTCAAACTTTGTCAAAATAACGATGCAGACCCGCTCAACTTGATTTGAAATGATTGGCTATTCAACCGAATACACAGTGCCATATTTGGGTTACTGTTCAGAGTAGATCGTTCGTTTTACATTCGAGAAGAGTTCACATATTACTTGAATGAAGAGGATAACATAATACTGAGCTGAAAATTGTGTGTAAAGTATGTTTTCAGTGTAGTTTACAATACAGGCTGTAAATGTGCTGGAGGTTTTATTGATGTTGAAGCTTGTAAACAAAACTAATAAACGTAGGACTTATTCACGGCAATGTATGGGAACCAGAGCAGGGAACCAGTCTAGAAGGCAAAGAAAATTCCGCCAAGTAAACAACAAAGAAAGGGATTTGGGATGTTGTCAGTTGTATACATTATGTGGGCCGGTGACTGCAAGGTAATACATGTGTCTTATTTGTTAAGCATAATTCGTTTCATTTAATTATGGAAATTTATCCGTCCCAACCAGTGGCGTAGCATCGTTTTTGAAAGCGGGGGGGGGGGGGGGGGGGGGGGGGCAGGCAGAGAAATTTTTTTTACTTACCTAAAAAAGTTGACAAGCAAAGAAAAAAAAAGGTTAAAGTTGCCCAAAGTCGAAAATCCTATTTCGTGGTGGTGGTTGTGGTGGTGGTGGTGGGGGGGGGGGGGGGGGTAGGTAAACTTTTTCTCAGTGACAACTACCAATCAGACTTTGAATTAACATTTCCTATAGTGTAAGTTAGGTTTGGAAAAAAAGTGGGGTGGCCAGCCCCCCCCCCCCTGGCCCCCCGGATACTACGCCCCTGCCAACACTGGCAGAAATATAACTAATCTGACTTCAAAATTCCTTCCTCTGTTCCCCCCAGTACATGTAACACTCTTCGCTTTCATTTTTTTTTTAATTTTCATCGTATTTTTTTTTTTTTAGAAGCAAGGAATGTGGAGCTATTGCATGCTGCTAAGGATGGAAAGGTCTTGTGTTTATTGGTTTTTCCTGAGACACCAGTCACAGTTGTACCTTATTTCTATTTTAGGTAATGTCTTTTGAGTTTTTTTAAGTAGAGGGAACAATGCATTTTTTCATTCAATATAAAGCTTTGCTCTCATTTTTAAAGAAATTTTCATTGTATATTTTTGTAGAAGCAAGGAATGTGGAGATAATGCAAGCTGCTAAGGATGGAAAGGTCTTGTGTTTATTGGTTGTGCCTGAGACACCAGTCACAGTTGTACCTTATTTCCATTTTAGGTAATGTCTTTTGAGTTTTTTTAAGTAGAGGGAACAATGCATTTTTCATTCAATATAAGTTTAAAATTCTAGAGATAACTTTTTTTTCAACATTGTTGGATACTCACTACATGATTTTATCTAAAGAAAAGTATTTAAAATATTTCCTCACATTTTTTAAAGAGGCCAGGTATGGTGAAGAGATAATTCATTTTTTATTCAAAATCTTATTTTCCATGCATTTGTACAGGGAGTCTATACAACATGTATACACTTGAAAGGTGAGCGTCAGATTTAATTTTGAAGATGGATGACTTTCAGATGTTGTGATGAAGATTGTCGAAAGAGATTATCAACATAGAACCAATCCATATGAATGTGCAAGTCAGGTGAGGATTGGACTTCAACATTTAATCAAGAGATGTTTATATACCGCTAAGCTTAGTGAAAGCACACCATAAACATTTTAAGTATCTCAGTAAGTTTCATGGATATTACAGATGTATCACTATCATATGTTTGACATTGAGTTGCTTTGTCTAAATTTCCATTATGTTTAGTTATACATGTTTTAAGTTACTTAAGTATGTCTTCAAAAGCTTGTGCTTTAATTTCAATAGAAGTAATGAAAACCTATTTAAAAATTGTATTGTTTTTCTTTATAATTTTGAAAATTATTATTATTAGGACTTTTACAACACCTGAGTACCCAGATGACTGTTGAACTAATTGGTGAACAAGAAAAGATGTCAGAGAGGGGAATCCAATACAGATGTCATGATCAAGAAAATGTACTGTTATCAATGATATGATCAAGAATTTGTAAACTTGTAGCGATTTAGAATATCTTATCTGTAATATAACTCTTCAATACTTAATTGTTCACACATTATCATCTTATCTGTATATGAATCGCCCCCTCTTATATAACCCCCTGCTGATTGTAATGACCTGTGTATTGATTCCTGATCTTAAGGATCTTATAATTTGCTCCTGATTGTCAGGAGCGGATCTTGAGTACATGTATATATATAGTGCGACAGAATTTTAGAATATGATAGGAAGATGGAAATATAGAAGACTTAGTAGATAGAACTGTTAGAGATAGATAAAGTTACTTACTTACTTGGAATATTGCCTAATATTTCTTGGATTTATATGTACATATGATTATTTAACTTGGATTTTATTTTTAGTGAATTATTTTTCCTGAATGTTTCTACTTGTGATGTGCTGTGTAAATAAACTGTAGACTAGAATTTCGGCATCTATTTTCAAGATATGAGGAACAATGATAAATTGATTTATTCATGCAAACTGACATTATGAAATGTGTAATAAGACCGCCCGATGCGGCGCTACAAACTAACTAGGAAATATCTTGGAGATTCATAGATGAACATGCAAGCATTCATGGTTTTAAATGTTATTCATTCAGAGTTTTTGCACAAATTCAATTTTCAGTATAGTAATTTAAACTGGATGTGTGATTTTCAGTACAGTTATGTAAAATGAATATGTTACATGTACTTATTTTGATTGTCAGTTTCTCAACAGGACATAATTGTAATTTATTTATTTGCAGAACAAAACACACAGAACTTTTTTTTCTCTTTGTGCATCATACACGTTTTACACCATCTTGGTTACATATTTTACATTTATGACGTGTAAATCGAGCAAACACATGAAAATACGTGAAGCTGGATACATATGCAAACATGCATCTACCATAACCTATTACATATTTTCCAAGGTGTGTGAAGTCGAGCACATGCATGAAAATGTGTGAAGCTGGACACATACACAAATACACATGCATCTGCCACAACCTATTACATATTTTCCAAAGCGTGTGAAGTCAAGCACATACATGAAAATGTGTGAAGCTGGACACATATGCAAACACACAAGCATCTACCACAACCTATTACATATTTTCCAAGGCGTGTGAAGTCGAGCACATACATGAAAATGTGTGAAGCTGGACACATATGCAAAAACACCAACATTTACCACAGACATAAAAACATAGTCTAAACTAAATCAGGCACAGACAGGCACACGGGGTGAAGCTGGACTCGTACATGATCTCATGCATTTTGCAAACTGCATCCCCGCATCTATTCTAATAGATTTTTCACCATATTTTGTGTTTGTGAATATGTAAAATGCATCATTTTGCTTTACGAGTTGAAGATGTTATTAGCCTGTGTATAATAATCTCAAATCAAATAGCCTTTTATGTAATTTTTTCCACATTTTTAATTCAATTTAAACTGCAAAGTTTATTTTTTATATGTACATGCACCATAAAGAATAAATATTGAACCAATATTATATTTTAAAGTGAAATGGGACCTCCATTTCATACGCAGAAATGTGAAATTTATACTTGTCATCTGTATTTCTTTTTTTAATTTTTTCTCACATGTATCAGAATGTTTAAAGGAAAACAAAAGTCTAAGATAGCTCAATATAATGTTTATATTCAAGGTTATAACTGGATATTGTTTGTGCTGTATATCTGACTCATCATATTATGAGAAGCAAAAATACAGAATATTTTAGATCATTTTTGATTGGAAAATGAAAAATATCAGTATGCCAATTTTTCCCATTGCTATATTTTTAATTACTTTATCATTAATATCAATGTACATACATGTATTAAAAATCTATGCCATCCAATTCAGAGAGTTGTAGGCAATCCTGGTGCAGATAATATTTTTTTTCCTGTGTTTTGAGTATAGTGGGAATACATTGTATGCGAGGAATGATTATTAATGGGTTTGGTTGTATAAGTGGCGTGGCCAAAGGAAAGCCAATGAGAAATGAGTATTCAGTAATATGTTCATATCATTCTAAGCCAGTGCTCTTCAATACACACACATTTTTTTTTTGCTTTATATATATCATATTTGTATAAATATACTGGTAATGGAAATAACAAAACTGTTCAAATGTATTTTAATTTTGATTTTTTCATACATGCAAATATTATAGGATGTTTGTGCATTTTTAACTATTGCACCGAATGCACGTCCGGCATTCTCCTTTGAGACATTATTTACATAGCGACGGACACAGGTTTTCCATAGTTAACCATCTATGGTTTTTGCCTGGGCGGTTTTTAATGTCAGTGATAGGGATACAATTTATTAAATGTAAAATATTTTGCAAATGCATTGCAGTGCATTATTGTTTCACATTCAATGTAATGTATGTTAAATATTTATGTTTTGTTACATGTATCAAAATAAACGCCAGCTGCTCCAACTAAGCTAACCTGGCTTACATCATAGGTGTTGTATTATTTGAGGTGTAGTCTGTCAAATAATGATGAGTCGAGTGTTTGAATCTGTAGATGACTATTTCTAATACTAATTTCAACTGGAAATGGATTCAAGATAATTAAAAAAATATATGACATTTATCTTAAAATTCTAGGTACTGACTAGATTAGATTCTTTAAACTAACTGTGAAAATCCAAAGAATAAGTGTATCAAACAATAGTCAGCATTCAAATAAGACTTTTATAAAATATGTATATTTAATGAACTTTAATATGGCATTAAAGGTGAAAGGTTATATTTAATTATCTTTTCGTGTAAGTAAAGGTTACCTTTTCACCTTTACTTTTTGTAAAGTTTATACAAAGATGACCTTGCTTTTTGGAACACCTTTAATGAAATTTACTTCACAAGTAAAGTTTTGTAAAGGTGTTTTTTCAAGCAGTGACAGTGGTTTTCTGAGACGACGGGTAAGGATAGAAGACGATATAGAAGAGGAAGATAGCGATCCCTTTACTGTTTACCTGCCTGAAGAGTACATTGGTGATCTCGTAGACCGATTCATTTTTGATATTAAGACAGACAATGTTATTGATGTTATTTTGAATCCCTGTTTAAGGGACGAAAGCGTGATCAAATCTTTTAAGGAAAAGGTAGAATCGTTGGAAAAGTTTCCAGAACTTCTTACAAATATGGAATATAAGATAAAAGGATCAGAATTTTTAAAAAAAATTGAGACCTTTGGTTTGTCAAGACTTGCATTTCTTGATTTAAAAGAAAAAACATGTCCCTTAATTGGATTAATTATATTTTGCCATAATGATATTTCTTAAACAGTATGCCTCAAACAAAGTTAATGGAATATCCAATATTTTCTGCTGTATGTGCCAACGTTGATTCAAATCTATTTAAATTCCTTAGCCCAGAATATAAAAAAGAAGCTATGGATGAAATGTGGTATATATTTTTACCAATTCACATTGCATCTGTATTCCATAACTTTTCAATAATTGAAGAATTGGTTAGACTTAATGCTGACGTTAATAAATTCACCCCTGATTGTAGCATGACTCCATTAATTCTGGCAGCAGCAAACACTGAAGGACATTTGAAAGAGATTGGAAAGAAAATAGAAGGAGATAGACGTAATAAAACCATTCTTTCTTTACTGAGAAATGGTGCCAAAATTAATATGTGTGGTATCGATGGTGTAAGTCCGCTCTACATAGCTTGCCAAAATGGACATCAAAGCACTGTGCAACTTTTATTAACTAAAAGCGCTGACATACACTTATGTGACAAAGATGGTAAAAGTCCCCTCTATGTATCTTGTCAAAATGGGCATGAAAATACAGTAAAGCTTTTACTAAACAACGGCTCTCAAATCAATTCATCGGATATTGATGGAGTCACTCCCCTTTTTATTACTTGTCAAAACGGACATGACAGTACAGTGCAACTTTTACTGAATAACGGTGCTAAAATAAATTTATGTGACAACAAGGGGAGAAGTCCTCTCTATATCGCTTGTCAGAATGGACATAACAATACTGTACAAGTTTTACTAAATATGGGTGCTGAAATTAATTTATGTAACAGGAATGGATACACTCCTCTCCACATAGCTAGTTATAAAAGACATGAGAGCACAGTACAAATTTTACTGAAGAGAGGTGCTGATATCAATTCTTGTGACAAAGATGGAAAAAGCGCCCTTTATTCAGCTTGTTTCAATGGATTTAAGAGTATGGTCAAAATTTTACTGAACAACGGCGCCAAAATAAATGCATATGACAAGAATGGAGTCACTTCCCTCTATCAAGCTTGTAGCCATGGACATGAAAGTACTGTACAATCTTTGCTAGTCAATGGGGCCGACATCAATTTATGTACGGAAAATTCAGTCAGTCCACTACAAATTGCTTCTTATAAGGGCTATGACAGCACGGTACATTGTTTACTGACAAACGGCGCAAAAATCAATTTAAGTGATAATCATGGAGAAAGTTCTCTTTGGAAAGCTTGTCATAATGGACATGATAGTGCGGTACAACTGTTACTTAACTTCGGCGCAGGCATCAATTTATGTAACAAGAATGGAGCCAGTCCTCTTTATATAGCTTGTCAAAATGGACATGATAGCACGGTACAACTGTTACTGAACAACGGTGCCGACATCAATTTATGTGATAATGATGGATTCAGTCCTCTTCTTGTAGCTGGTAAAAATGGACATGATAGCACGGTACAACTGTTACTGAACAATGGTGCTGACGTCAATTTATCTAACAAGAATGGAGCCAGTCCTCTTTATATAGCTTGTCAAAATAGACATGATAGCACTGTACAACTGTTAGTAAACAATGGTGCAGACATCAATTTATGTGATAATGATGGATTCAGTCCTCTTTATTTAGCTTGTCAAAATGTGCACGAAAGCACGGTACAACTATTACTGAACAACAATGCCAACATCAATTTATGTAACAAGAATGGAGCCAGTCCTCTTTATATTGCTTGTTATAAAGGACATGATAGCACAGTACAGTTGTTACTGAACAACGGTGCAGACATCAATTTATGTGATAATTATGGAGCCAGTCCTCTTCATATAGCTTGTCAAAATGGACATGATAGCACGGTACAACTGTTACTGAACAACGGTGCCGACGTCAATTTATGTGATAATTATGGAGCCAGTCCTCTTCATATAGCTTGTCAAAATGGACATGATAGCACAGTACAGTTGTTACTGAACAACGGTGCCGACATCAATTTATGTGATAATTATGGAGCCAGTCCTCTTCATATAGCTTGTCAAAATGGACATGATAGCACGGTACAGTTGTTATTGAACAACAGTGCAACCATCAATCTTTTTAACAAAAATGCAGTCAGTCCTCTTTATATAGCTTCTTATAATGGACATGATAGCACAGTACAGTTGTTACTGAACAACGGTGCAGACATCAATTTATGTCATAATGATGGATTCAGTCCTCTTTATATAGCCTGTGAGAATGGACATGATAGCACGGTACTACTGCTACTAAACAACGGCGCCGACATCAATTTGTGTGATAATGTTGGAGTCAGTCCTCTTTATAAAGTTTGTCAAAATGGACATGATAGCACGTTACAACTGTTACTGAATAACGATGCGGACATCAATCTATGTAATAATTATGGGGTCAGTCCTCTTCAAGTAGCTTGTTATTATGGACATGATAGTACGGTACAACTGTTACTGAACAACGGTGCCGACATCAATTTATGTGACAAGAATGGAGCCAGTGCGTTGTGGATCGCCTGTCTTAATGGACATCATAGTATTGTACAATTATTACTGAACAGCGGAGCCGATACCAATTTATTTGACAAAAATGGAGTCTCCCCTCTTTCCATAGCATCTGAAAATGGACATATAAAAGCGGCACAATTATTATTAAGCAATAGCATCGACCCAAGTTAATGTGATGACTTTAAGCTTATGCTGTACTCCGTCAAAATAGACAGCTTTGAACAAATTCAACTCTACAGCGGCGACGATATGAATAAAAGTGATGATTTCTTTTCGTTTTCTCTCACGATAGCTAAATTGAACATTAAAGTCTATTTTTTTTTTTTTGAAAAATGCAGCCACATCTACGTAATATTGTTTTTATCTTAATTTAACAAATTCATTTCAGTGTCATGTGCCAATAAAAAAATATATGACGTAAAATTTTGTCAACATTTACAAGGATATCAGAAGGAATGCGGTAAACTTTGGATGATTTGTCCGCCTTGGTAAAGTGTTGTTGACTCATTTAATCATAAAAATTGTGTGCCTAATAAGATTTGTTGCAATGAAGGATTTGAAGATAATGAACAGTATGTAATATCAAAGTACATTAAACAATACAAATTCAATTCAAAAAATATAACCTTGATAAAAGTAAAAATACAACAAATGTGCGTTTGAAATTAATTTTTCACTTTTTTCCCTCGCAATGTATCGACTTAATTTTGTATTGAAAAATGTATTCATAATCGGGATGGTGATTATTTTAAGTACATTATTTATATCGGATAATTGTTATTATGATTAATAACTACATATCGAGGACGATTATATTTTCTATTTAGACTTGTCACGGGATGCGGCAGCCAATCAGATTGCAGCGCACGTGCATACTCGTGTTTTCATGATAATTGCTATATATCTATTTTAGCACATTGCCTTTAAGTATTGGTGTTACATATAAATATTACTAGTGCAAGGGCATAACCAAGTTAAATTTTGAAGTTTAGTATATACAAATTTTCAACACGCATTTTAGTTTCTAAAATGTCCTGCGATCCTATCTAAATTAGGCAATTTCATTGTTAGAATTATACTTGTATGACCGAATGCTACATATTTTGCTGGTCAGCGGCGTGAAATATTGATATAATTAAATTGTTTTTAAGATTTCATCAGAATCGCAGCACTTTTCAGATACCTTAATAGTTCTATAGTTGAAATGTAAAAGCTTACTTTGATTCGTAGAGTGTATGCCCTTGCACAAGATCGATTTATTAAGACCCCCAACATTACCCTCGATGTACTTGCATACAAATGTACGGCAGTGTCAATTAAATACGTAATGTATAGAAAATCAATGAAATAGTGAAGAAGACATTAAATTCAAGTTATTGGCAAACAAAATATCTGTAAATAATATTTTATTTAATAAGAGAATACATATTTTGTTGAGAAAATATTACGTGATCTGTCTCTAACTGCATACAGACTACATCACGTTTTAAGAAATGACATCATATTGATAAGTGTATCAGTGACTTATTTATAACTTGTTATTTGGGATTAAACTAACGACTAAACATCACGCTGTAGAAAGTTTTTTATGTAATTTGATGATTTTTCACTGCTTAAATTGGCAGATAAACTCATTTTGTGGTATTTTAAAGAAATGTGGTATGACGTATATTGTGTATGATGTCATAGTCAAGTTTTCCAGTACAAATTAGGCTCCGCCTCTTTTTTGTAACCTTAACTGTGCTGTGCGTCAAAAACGGCTAACACGCGGTATTCAATTTGTTGGCACTGCCAGGTGTGTTATAGGTCCGAAGACATCCCAAAATATGAATTCAATGCTTAAATGTAATTAGGACTTAAGATGACTGTATAAGATATTTTATGGTGTTTATAGCACACAGCATGTACTATACTGTAAATTCAACAAATGACGAACGGACCAATTTTCGTTGATTGTATACACATTAGGTTAAACGGATTAAATTTCATTTATTAATTTAGATCTTAAAGGACATGTGTCTTTTACGCCCCTGTGTATCAATTCGTGGATCAAGGTATGGAAAAATTCTACGAAATATAAAAAAAAATACATAACAATTTTTTTTTTAAAGAATTAAACGTCTAGGGCTTTTATCGATGCTTTTATCGATGATCATGTTATTTTTCTTATTTTTTTTCTTTGTTTTTCAAAATGTTTGTACAATGTATTAATTTTGTTTGTTTGAATTGTTTCGTTTTATACTATGTTTTGTTCATTGTTTGTAATTCGGGATAATTCATTCCCCTTTGTTCTAAAAGGAAGAAGGAAGGAATGTGATATATGCATATGTTGTACTAAATTGTTTTAACCTAAAATTGACAAATCGATAGGGTTTAACCTTATTGCATGAGATATAATTGAATTGGAAATTTTAAAAAATATGCAGCAAATGTGGTATAATTTAAGTTATTATGAAACATGCAAATTTTGTATGCGTTTCAGATAGTGCATGTAAATATATTTCTTAAGATTATATTTTACGAGGTTTTAAATTATGTGATTATGTTTCTTCACTAAATAAAATACAGGAGTCCACAGCGGGAGTCAATATCAATCATTTCAGTGTGATGAATATTATACATCGTAATAGTCTGAAATATCGATCAATTCTGAAATGGAAGCAGAAATAGGAAATGTACAATTCAACATTTATTATACTTGTGAAAATGTAAGGCCATTTTTTATTAATTGTTTTTCAAGATATTTTTTGAAAAAATAAGGTCGGTCGGTCGAAAAAAAAAAGGCAGTTGAACATGTTGAAAAGTGGTCGTACGAACCAGATTAAGATAGAGTACTTTAAAGTACACTAGTATGAAATATTTAAAAAATCTTCTACATGCAAATAAACTGCTTTTTGTATGCCATTCTACTTTAGTATAACATAATTACATATTTTAAACAAAAGATTATGTTCTTCTTAGTATAGTACTAGTAATTTTAATTTTTGATTTGATGTTGTGATTTATTGTTATGATCCTGATTTAATTAAACTTTGAATGGTTCACTTTTTATGTGAAAAATATTTATAAAATGTAATTAATTTAATTTCTGATAAATAATATTTAGTTGATTGCAACTACCATTATGGCAATTAGAATTAAATTAATTTAAAAAGTTTAATTCTCACTTGTAAAATTGAAACAATAAAAATAGCAGTTATGATAAAAAATTCAAAATAAAAATAAATTTACTGCATGGTAAATCATCTTTACGTTTTTCTCAGTGATATTTGCACTTCATAACCTATATACTGCAAGTGTTTACATTTGAAGAATGGAGGAAATTCGGATTAGGAAAAAAACCGATCATTTTTGGAAGCAAACTGGTCAAGTTGAATTGCAAAATAGATAAGATTTTGGGTATTTACGAAGAATAGAAGCATACAGTATTCACATTTTTCATTTATTGAAGACATCTCATTTCAGAGACCATTCATGTCCAACTTGCCCTTCAATGATAAACATAAATTATTTCTTCAATGTTGGTTTTCACAAAAAGGACAGAATAAAGCAGGTGCATTTTTTTAAAATATGCACATTTTCTGAAACAATTTTTCTTAAAAAATATCTTTATAAAAATATTTGTAATCAAGTAATACTTTCTATCTATTAATCAGTGATGTATTTACACAAGAGGCCCATGGGCCACATCGCTCACCTGAGTAACTTGGGTGATGCAGATCTTTTTAAAAGATTTGTTCTATATATATTTCTATGTAAAACTTGGATTCCCCATTGTGGCCCCGCCCTATGCCCGAGGGTCATGATTTTAACAATTTTATATCTACACTACCAAAGGATGCTCCCACATAAGTTTCAGCTTTCCTGGCCAAGTGGTTCTTGAGAAGAAGATTTTCAAAGATTTGTTCTAAATATTTCTATGTAAAACTTGGATTCCCTATTGTGGCCACGCCCTACACCCGGGGGTCATGATTTTAACAATTTAATATCTACACTACCGCAGGATGCTTCCATATAAGTTTCAGCTTTTCTGGCCCAGTGGTTCCTGAGAAGAAGATTCTTAAAAGATTTGTTCTATATATTTCTATGTAAAACTTGGATCCCCAATTGTGGCCCCGCCCTACCCCCAGGGGTCATGATTTTAACAATTTAATATCTACACTACCCAAGGATGCTTCCACATAAGTTTCAGCTTTCCTGGCCCAGTGGTTCTTGAGAAGAAGATTTTTAAAGATTTATTCTATATATTTCTATGTAAAACTTGGATTCCCTATTGTGGCCCCGCCCTACCCCCAGGGTTCCTGATTTTGACAATTTAATATCTACACTACCCAAGGATGCTTCCATTTAAGTTTCAGCTTTCCTGGCCCAGTGGTTCTTGAGAAGAAGATTTTTAAAAGATTTGTTCTATATATCTCTATGTAAAATTTGGATTCCCTATTGTGGCCCCGCCCTACCCCGGGGGGTCATGATTTTAAGAATTTAATATTTACACTACCCCAGGATGCTTCCACATAAGTTTCAGCTTTCCTGGCCCAGTGGTTCTTGAGAAGAAGATTTTTAAAGATTTATTCTATATATTTCTATGTAAAACTTGGATTCTCTATTGTGGCCCCGCCCTACCCTCGGGGGTCATGATTTTAACAATTTAATATCTACACTACCCCAGGATGCTTCCACATAAATTTCAGCTTTTCTGGCCCAGTGGTTCTTGAGAAGAAGATTTTTTAATGAACCCACCCTATTTTCGTATTTTCTTGATTATCTCCCCTTGGAAGAGGTCTTGGCCCTTGATTTTAACAATTTAAATTTCCCTTTACCCAAGGATGCTTTGTACCAAGTTTGGTTAAAATTGGCCCAGTGGTTCTTGAGAAGAAGTCGAAAATGTGAAAAGTTTACAGACGGACGGACGGACAGACGGACGGACGGACGGACGACGGGTGATCAGAAAAGCTCACTTGAGCTTTCAGCTCAGGTGAGCTAAAAATGTAAACCTTTTGACTTCATACCACACAAAGTTTTGGAGCAATTGTAAAAATAATTTTCTAGACATGTTGACCTTTGACGAAACCTTAAAAGCACAACATCGGAAAAGTCAGTTATAAATAATCAATCTTTATAATGATGTAATTAAATGTATGCATAATTTATCATCTTTTTTTGATAATTTCATGTACCTATAAATCTACCTATGCAATGTTTTTTTTTACCATATGTGTAACTTGAAAAATAAGTTGAAAGACCTACATATACACTAGTTCTACCACTCACACCCAAGATAATAATAGACAAGACAATCACGTAACAACCAAATAATCGCGTGACA